GTTTATCTCTCACCTTTGAAATAAATATCTAATCATTTCTCAACAAATATTGATTTTTATATCATTTACATTTTCACTCTATTTAAAATGTGGCTTCCAGAGTGATCTCCTGCCATCCTCAAAACCCTCCAAAGCCTCACCATAGTCTCCAAATTCTGAAGGTTAGAATTCCATTTAAGACTTTCCATTATCTGAATGGCTCCTAGTTTTGCAGATTTTACTTCACCACTCATGTACATGCTTGGTATATCACAAAATACACCATATTGTTTTTCAGAGACCAGTGATGGTACATTTGTTTAAATCTGTTACTCCACCTGGAAGGTGGTTCCTAATTAAATTTGCTTGGTGAAACAGACTGAGTCCTCAAAATTCAAGACCAAATTCATCTTCTCTTTTGCCACCCTCCCTGTCTTCACAGAGCACTTCATGAGCCTGGATTTTGTCTATTCAGACAGTGATAGCTTTATGGTCACCTCTCTTTCTAGATATATGGAAAGCTATAACAAGTTAAGAACTTATTAACAGAATGGAAGAAATATTGTATATAATCTCTTAGTTATAGAATGAAAATTAGAGATAGCAGAAATAGAATCCTTGGAAAGAAAAGGGGCAGAAAGAAAGGGGTTGGGAGGAATGGGAAGGGTAGTGAATGTGAGAAAAACAAAAAGCTGTATGCATAAAATGCCAATATGAATTCCATTATTTTATTTGCCAGTTAACAAAAACACTAATTTTAAAAGGACACACATTTTGTTATTACTTTTAAATATGCAATTTCTAACATAGTGACTTGCATATAGTTAATTTCAAATAAAGATACGACTAGAAATGATGGATTACCTTTCATTGCAGCCACAGAAAATGCCACTGCTTCCTGACGATGACAAATTAACAAATCCTAAACGCCTACCCACTCCAACCTGGACGATCCTAGACACAGAGGCCGAGGACCATATAAGTCAACCTTCTGCCCATCTTTACCTTGTTACTTAAGTTTTTGGAACATAGGCTCGTAAGTCACAGCACATTCCCTTTATTTTATGAGGCTGCTTCTGAGTCAGTAATGATGTTTTGACCTTGCAGTAATTCAATCCTATTAGCTACAAATATATTGTGATTAGCAGAGTAACCTTAACAACGTGATATAAAATTTCTACATTAACCTGAGAGTATAGAGCTGAACAAACATATCAACCCAGTAAACATACCTGTAAGTATTAAAGAAGAAATAAAATTAGAGAAATAGGCATCTGCCACAGGTATTTCTATTCTTAATGATTGCCTTTTAAAATAGATTTCAAAACATGGACTTAAAAGAAAGAACATGACTGCTTTATTTATCATCTGGCAAAAGAAAATAAGAGGTAAAAATCAATAGCTTATTTTTAGTTAAAAATACCTCATATTTTAAGTGACCCCTAAATCATATACAGAACCATGTCTTGAAAGTCAGGCCTTATTTTATTAAAGATGTCCTAGGCTTTTTCACATAACTAGTTTTCTCTGCATAAAGACACATATGGGGTTGGTCTAGCTCATTCTGCTGCTGATTTTATGGAGATCTGAAGTATAAAGATGAAACAGAGAATAGTAGTTACGTTTTCCATGAGAAGGTATGATTTAAAAGAAGCTGAACTAGTCTACCATGTGAGCAGAACTGACCACATTGACCCTTTCATTTAGTCTGCTCTTAGCATATTCTGAGATAAATGGGTATGGGTATTATAAAGGGGTATTGAGATTGTCCTCAAATGGTCATATACAGATTGTATTTGGATTGAATCACCAAAGTAAGAACACTCAAGGTAAACACTATTCCAGTACAAGCCCTTCTTCTTAAAAATATCTGATATATATTTATATGCACACACTCTACACATCTGAAGTTGTAAACTAAATATTAGGTATTGAATTACTGTTGCCTTCTTAATTATTATATTAACTATTAATAGGAAATTAACACTTTTAAAATACTTTATTTAGATCAACAATAGATTTCTTTTATGATAAGAAAAATACATGTAATGCAGAAGGAATGTAATAACATATTTGAACAAACTTCATTGTTGCCCTGAATTCTATGTATGTCTTTCCATTATTATAGCTTTTATTACTACTCTTAGGTTCTTAAAAGTGTTTGATTTCACATATGCAATGGATTTCCCCCTAAATCAAGTATTTAGGCACAGGTCTATTTATTTATTCAGCTACCAAATATTCAGAGATACAAGCATATTATCTCAAGGAAAACAAACTTTTGTTATGAAATTCCAGAGAATTGTCATCAAAAATTATAACTAACTGATACCTAGAAAAGAAAAGAAGGAAGAAAGGGAGGGAGGGAGGGAGAGGGAAGGAGGGAGAGGAAGGGAAGAAGGAAGGAGTGAAAATATCACCAATAAACACCAGTATCTGAGAGAGGTTTAACAGAGGAGTAATTTGAATATATTCTGGCTGCATAAAATAAAGAAAAACCCTTGAAAATATAGTTATAATTTACTTTAGTCCTTATTTGTGCTGCTATATTTAGAATTTTCTAAAATTAACTAATGATAATTCATTAGACATAGACAAGGAATATGGTGGGGTTTGTACCCAGTTATACAAACATAAATTAATAATTAAGTCTGTAGTTGGGGGAAGATACCTTATTTATTAAATTTGGAGCTATCCAATGTTAGATTAAATTTAAAAGTTTAAACTTAAAAAAATGACACTTAAGGCAATTCAATCAAAATTTACAATAATGAATAAACATGCTCCCCACAGCTTGAGCAAGCCCCCCTCCCTCACTACAAAGCAAATGATCAGAAAATGTTAAATACTAAGACAAATTTCTGAACTAATATACATGATAGGCTTGGGCCCTTTCCTATGATATGCCGATTAATTCTTCTAATACATTATTGATGTAAATAAACCAGGCTTTACTCAAGCAGCACTTACAGACTTAGGCAAAGCTCAAGAGTCCCATAACGACATGTACTTACGCCTCCTCTCTTCAAGTGAAGAAGAACCTGAGCCTATGAAGCTGCTAAGATGATTTTTATAGTGACATTGAGTCATGAGCCAAATGGTGACTGGAGAGCATGCTAATTTTACTTCTCTAAATGGGACACATGAAATGAGACTCACAGACTTGCAGGAAGAATGGAGAGACTGCCTCCAGCATACACTGAAGACTTC